TCATGAGGGAAAGAAGGATTTGATCCCCTATCATTCAGCAGGATTTCTGGCTCCCAGGTGTCTCTCATACAGGTAACAAGCTGAGATTAGAAGCAGTCTCTTAAAGGGAGTGTTGCTAGTCTCATTGTGTTACCTGTATAAAAGACACCTGTCCACAGGAGCAATCAAACCATCAGATTCCAAACTCTCCACCATGGCAAAGACCAAAGAGCTGTCCAAGGATGTCAGGGACAAGATTGTAGACCTACACAAGGCTGGACTGGGCTACCAAACTATGGCCAAGCAGCTTGGTGAGAAGGTGACAACAGTTGGTGCAATCATTCACAAATGGAAGAAACACAAAAACAAGTGTCAGTCTCCCTAGGTCTGGTGCACCATGCAAGATCTCACCTCGTGGAGTGTCAATGATCATGAGAACAGTGAGGAATCATCCCAGAACTACACGTGAGGATCTTGTCAATGATCTCCAGGCAGCTGGGACCACAGTCACCAAGAAAACAATTGGTAACACACTACGCCGACAAGGACTGAAATCCTGCAGTGCCCGCAAGGTCCCTCTGCTCAAGAAAGCACATGTCCAGGCCCGTCTGAAGTCTGCCACTGAACATCTGAATGATGCAGAGGAGGACTGGTGGAGAGTGTTGTGGTCAGATGAGACCAAAATCCAGCTCTTTGGCATCAGCTCAACTCGCCGTGTTTGGAGGAGGAGGAATGCTGCTTCTGACCCCAAGAACACCATCCCAACTGTGAAACATGGTGGTGGCAACATTCTGCTTTGGGGGAGTTTTTCTGCTAAGGGGACAGGACAATTGCACCGCATCAAAGGGATGATGGACAGGGCAATGTACCATCAAATCTTGGGTGAGAACCTTCTTCCCTCAGCCAGGGCATTGAAAATGGGTGGTGGATGGGTGTTCCAGCATGACAATGTCCCAAAACACACGGCCAAGGCAACAAAGGAGCGGCTCAAGAAGAAGCACATTAAGGTCCTGGAGTGGCCTAGCCAGTCTCCACACCTTCATCCCATTGAAAATCTGTGGAGGGAGCTGAAAGTTCACAATGTCTGCCTTCATAACGCCCGCCTTCATAACGCCCGCCTTCATCACGTCTGCCTTCATAACGCCCGCCTTCATAACGTCCGCCTTCATAACGTCCGCCTTCATAACGCCCGCCTTCATAACGTCCGCCTTCATAACGTCCGCCTTCATAACGCCCGCCTTCATAACGCCCGCCTTCATAACGCCCGCCTTCATAACGCCCGCATAACGCCCTTCATAACGCCCGCCTTCATAACGGAACGCCCGCCTTCATAACGCCCGCCTTCATAACGCCCGCCTTCATAACGCCCGCCTTCATAACGTCCGCCTTCATAACGCCCGCCTTCATAACGCCCGCCTTCATAACGCCCGCCTTCATAACGTCCGCCTTCATAACGCCCGCCTTCATAACGTCCGCCTTCATAACGCCCGCCTCCTTCATAACGCCCGCCTTCATAACGTCCGCCTTCATAACGCCCGCCTTCATAATGTCAAGCGATGTACAAACTATTGGCGCTATATAAAATCCTGTCTAATAAAAAGCACAGTGGCGAAATGGTTAGCACTTCCACCTAGCAGTACTCGGGTCGTTGGTTCAGAACCCAAGCATGGCAACACCTGCCTGGAGTTTGCATGTTCTCCCTGTGCCTGCGTGGGTTTCCTCACGCTACTCTGGTTTCCTCCCACACTCCAAAGACATGCTGGTAGGTGAATTGGCTCCTGTCTAAATTGTCCCTAGTATGTGTATGTATGAATGTGAGTTAGGGACCTTAGATTGTACACCCCTTGAGGGTTAGGGACCTTAGATTGTACACCCCCTTGAGGGTTAGGGACTGATGTGAATGTACAATATATAAGTAAAGCGCTGCGTAAATTGACGGCGCTATACAAGTACCTGAAATAAATAAATAATAATAATGTCCTGATAGATGGATGTCAGCCTGGAGGAGTGGGTGTTCCTAGGCAGGCTGTATTTGCATAGGTAACGCCCACATGTGATGTTGAACCTCCATTATTGAAAGAACTGAAATCCAGTAAGCACCATCCCAACTGTAAAACATGGTGGTGGAAACATTCTGCTTTGGGGGTGTTTTTCTGCTAAGGGGACAGGACAACTGCACCGCATCAAAGGGACCATCAACAGGGCAATGAACCGTCAAATCTTGGGTGAGAACCTTCTTCCCTCAGCCAGGGCATTGAAAATGGGTGGTGGATGGATGTTCCAGCATGACAACGACCCAAAACACACGGCCAAGGCAACAAAGGAGAGGCTCAAGAAGAAGCACATTGAGGTCCTGGAGTGGCCTAGCCAGTCTCCAGACTTTAATCCAATTGAAAATCTGTGGAGGGAGCTGAAAGTTCGAGTTTCCAAACGTCAACCACCAAACCTCAATGACTTGGAGTGGATCTGCCAAGAGGAGTGGGCCAAAATCCCTCCTGAGATGTGTGCGAACCTGGGGGCCAACTCCAGGAAACATCTGACCTCTGTGATTTCCAACAAGGGATTTGCCACCAAGCACTAAGCCATGTTTTGTGAAGGGGATCAAATCCTTCTTTCCCTCATGAACATGCAGATCCGTCATCATTTGTTAGATGCATTTCTGCTGAATTTGTTGTTGTATTCTGTCTCTCAGTGTTACACCGAACATTCCATTGTTAGACCGATCATTTCTGTGTGAGGGGCGAACATTCACCATCAGCAGGGGAGCAAATACGCATTTCCTTCACTGTATATACACACACTATAGATATATACATATACACATATATACATATACATATCTATATATATATATACACACATATATATACATATATATATATATATATATATATATATACACACATATATATACATATATATATATATATATATATATATACACACATATATATACATATATATATATATATATATATATATATATATATATATATATATAGATATATAGATATATATATATTTTTTTTTTTTTTAATTTTGTTTGTTGTGTTTTTTTTCTTTATACGTTTTGTATTTTTTAGGTTTTTTTAATTTCATTTTTGTTTGTGTTTTTACCTTATTCTTTTTTATTTTATACACGTTTTGTATTTGTTTTTTTTTGTTTGCTTTTTTCTTGCCTGAGTATAGAACTGTTTGTCCCGAGCACATTCGAAGCCATTTACTGTGGACAGACTCACTACCTCTGCTGGAAGTCTATTCCAAGCATCAACTTCTCTTTCAGTAAAATAACACTTTCTAAGATGAGTTTCGATTGGAGGATTTGTTCGACTGCTAAAAAACATTTCAATTGTTCAAAACATTCTGATCAAATGTGTCCGAATCAGAGTTTGTAGACTGAAGAGGAAGAGAAGAGAACTCAACTGAAAGCCGCTATGAGGAAAGATGAAAGACGACATTCATACCTGTGCGACACATTGGGTTTTTTTGGGGGGTTTTTTTTTTTTTGCGTCTTCGATGCGCAACAGCATAGGGCAGCCCATTCACGTAAACGGCGGGATGGCGTGCGTGCGATACGTGCAACTCTTTTTGCAGGGAACCTCCATGCAATTTGAAATGCGAGTTTTTCATGCATCTTGATGCGCGACTGCTACCCACGTCTGGGTGTGTCATATGGTCCGCTCCCAAAAAGGAAGAACCCTGCCCTGACCCTCCAGGGTGCAAGACTCCTGACGGGGGGTGCGAGTCATTCTGGTCCACTTAACCAAAAGGCCTGGTGGCCCTTCTCCTCGTGATCAGACAGCACTGACCAATGAGTACTAGATGAGGGAGAGTAGGGGGAGAAGGAACCTAAGGGCCACAAATCCTCCTCCTAAACCCAGGGGTAGACCCAAAGACCCACACCCTACAATACTGGATGGAAAAATGACATATATAAGTGCAGGGGTCACACACATGGACCATTTAGGTCCATTGAGCCGTTTTCATGAGACCTGGTGGGGCCCGGCACTACAGGAATTGGCCCCATGTCTCTTCGCTCGTTATTCACAGACAGATTTCTGCCCGTCTATGGGACTGGAAGAGAAACTGGAGACTATGAGGCTGGAAGCCTGAAGTTTGCCTTTAAAATCCAGGTAAGTTGCATTCATTCTCATGAATTTAACAGCTCGTGATGTGAAGCGAAGCGAAGGCGGCGCTTATCGAACGCAAAATCAACCGCTGTAATTTAACCGTCGCCTGCTGTAATTTACTCCGCGCGACTCAAGTATATTAAGACTGAAAAGGTTGACGGCCAATTCTATCCAACCTTCGCTTCATCCTCATTTAGGTGTAATTTAATGTCAGCCGGGGAAAGCCATCGATCGATCAGTCACTCTGCGATTCTCTTACCGGTGTCTGACTGCTCGTGTATACCGCGCCCAGCAAGGGCCTTATGAATATACATTCCGTAGTCACCGCGCTCAAACTCAGAGCCTTGCAGTGTCTGCTCAGCGGGATGACGTGCCGACAACTCTACACATTGCTTGTGTACTCCTAAAGGGAGGTTTAAATCTGACCTCCTCCCCTTCAGTCTTGTACAGGCGTACCGGCTCCTCCCCTGCAGTCTTGCACAGGTGCACCGGCCCCTCCCCTTCAGTCTTGCACAGGCGTACCGGCTCCTCCCCTTCAGTCTTGCACAGGCGTACCGGCTCCTCCCTTTGCACAGGCGTACCGGCTCCTCCCCTTCAGTCTTGTACAGACGTACGGCTCCTCCCCTTCAGTCTTGCACAGGCGTACCGGCTCCTCCCCTTCAGTCTTGCACAGGTGCGTACCGGCTCCTCCCCTTCAGTCTTGCACAGGTGTACCGGCTCCTCCCCTTCAGTCTTGCACAGGTGTACACCTCCCCTTCAGTCTTGCACAGGGTACCGGCTCCTCCCCTTCAGTCTTGCACAGGTGTACCGGCTCCTCCCCTTCAGTCTTGCACAGCACAGTACCGGCTCCTCCCCTTCAGTCTTGCACAGGTGTACCGGCTCCTCCCCTTCAGTCTTGCACAGGCGTACCGGCTCCTCCCCTTCAGTCTTGCACAGGCGTACCGGCTCCTCCCCTTCAGTCTTGCACAGGGGTACCGGCTCCTCCCCTTCAGTCTTGCACAGTTGTACCGGCTCCTCCCCTTCAGTCTTGCACAGTCTTGCACAGTTGTACCGGCTCCTCCCCTTCAGTCTTGCACAGTTGTACCGGCTCCTCCCCTTCAGTCTTGCACAGGTGTACCGGCTCCTCCCCTTCAGTCTTGCACAGGCGTACCGGCTCCTCCCCTTCAGTCTTGCACAGGTGTACCGGCTCCTCCCCTTCAGTCTTGCACAGGGGTACCGGCTCCTCCCCTTCAGTCTTGCACAGGTGTATGTACCGGCTCCTCCCCTTTGCACAGTTGTACTTCCTCCCCTTCAGTCTGTACACAGTGTACCGGCTCCTCCCCTTCGGTCTTGTATAGGTGTATATCGGCTCCTTCCCTTCAGTCTTGCACAAGTGTACCGACTCCTCCCCTTCAGTCTTGCACAGGTGTACCGGCTCCTCCCCTTCAGTCTTGCACAGATGTACGAATCCTCCCCTTCAGTCTTGCACAGGTGTACCGGCTCCTCCCTTTCAGTCTTGCACAGGTGTACTGGCTCCTCCCCTTCAGTCTTGCACAGGTGTACCGATTCCTCCTCTTCAGTTTTGCACAGGTGTACCGGCTCCTCTCCTGGACTGAAATGGCCTCCTCTGATATCACTGCACACTGTGAGCTTCTCACCATGTGCATTAGAAGCTGCAGCAAGCCAGATAGAACCTGTTTGATTTCCTGGCAGGAGAACATTCAGCATCATCAAGCCCTTTCCTGCACAGCCTGAGTGTCCCTAGCCTGATCCTTATATTCACTGGATTTCAGTTCTTTCCAGCATCACTCGTAGGCACTTCCCAGGATGGTCTGCATGAAAACACACAGCCTGCCTAGGAACAGGTATTAAATACTACATCAAGTATTAAACATAAAATAACAAAAAATTCAAAAATAACTAAATATTTATTAATATATAATTTTATTCAGTGCATTAAGCTTTATTAAAATTGTTTCCTTTTGATCCCTGGAAAGTCCAGAGGTTCTGTTTTGTAGAGTATTTTTTTAAACCAATAAAAACAAATTCCAAAAAAAAAGAGAAAAAAAAAAGGTTTCTTAAAATGATTTATTAATTTATCAAAGAAGTAGAACGTAGTGGGGGATGGTTATAACCTGTCAGATTTTTTTATTTTTTTTTTGCCATTAGGAAGATTTACCAAAACAGGAAGTGAGAAGAAATCCCTGCAAATTAAGAGAATCCATTTGAGCCCCCCCTCCCTGGTCAACAAAAACTAGCATCTCCATTGGAAGATTCCCCTCATTATTTTTCTGGGGACAACCCAAAATTTGGCATTTAATAATAACGGTGAACAGGATAAGAGAGGGTGAATCTCCCCTTACAGGGTCACAGACAGAAATAAAAACCTGACAGGGGTTCTAATCCCTCTCCGCTCTATCCAAAACTATAAAAAAATGCTTTTAGTTATTCTTTAAAAGTGCTAAATTAAATAAAGTTATATTACAATAATAAACAAGAAATATAAATATTAACTAATAGCAAAATAAGTATTACATAAAAAAACTAAATTTTTTTTAAGTGAAATATAATAAATGCATTCAACTTTAAAAAAAATCTTTAATTAAATGATTTATTAAAGAATTAATTAAAATTGTTAAACTAAATACTAACAACTAGAAAGCTTTAATTAAATTATTTAATAATTTAATAAAATTGCTAAATCTAATATATTATTATAATAAATATTAACATCTAGAAATAAGAAATAGCAGCAAAATTGCATCAATTACATCATATTTTATTACTATTATAATTACATTAAGTGCATTAAACTTTATTAAATAAATAATTTATTAAATAATTTTTAAATATAATAAAAATATTAGCATCTAGGATTGCATCAATTATTATATATCAATGTGTTATTACTGTTAAAATGATGTTAAGTTCATTCAAGTTTATTCATATTATTTAATAAATGATTTATTAAAGAATTAAATAAAATCCTTAAATAATATATAATAATCAATATTAACTAGAAACATGAAATAATAGCAGAATTGCATCAATTATTATATATTAATACGTGATTACTGTTAAAATGATGTTAAGTTCATTCAAGTTTATTCATATTATTTAATAAATGATTTATTAAAGAATTAATTAAAATCCTTAAATTATATATAATAATCAATATTAACTACTAGAAACATGAAATAATAGCAGAATCGCATCAATTATTATATATTAATATGTGATTACTGTTAAAATAATGTAAGGCTCATTCAACTTTATTAAAATTATTTAATAAATGATTTATTAAAGAATGAATTAAAATACTTAAATAATATATAATAATCAATATTAACTAGAAACATGAAATAATAGCAGAATTGCATCAATTATTATATATTAATATGTGATTACTGTTAAAATGATGTTAAGTTCATTTAAGTTTATTCCTATTATTTAATAAATGATTTATTAAAGAATTAATAAAAATCCTTAAATTATATATAATAATCAATATTAACTAGAAATATGAAATAATAGCAGAATTGCATCAATTATTATATATTAATATGTGATTACTGTAAAATAATGTTAAGCTCATTCAACTTTATTAAAATTATTTAATAAATGATGATTAAAGAATGAATTAAAATCCTTAAATAATATATAATAATATTAAACTAGAAACATGAAATAATAGCAGAATTGCATCAATTATTATATATTAATATGTTACTGTTAAAATGATTACTGTTTAAAAATAAATGATGTGAATTAAAATCCTTAAATAATATATAATAATATTAACTAGCTCATTCAACTTATTATATAAATCATTTAATCATTTTAATAAAGAATTAATTAAAATCAATAAATTAAATATAATAATCAATATTAACATTTAGAAATATGAAATAATGGCATCATTCTATAATAATATTAATATTTTACTATTATTATATTATGTGCATTCAACTTAATTCAAATTATTTATTAAAGAATGAATTAAAATGGTTAATAGTAAATAATAAAAGGTGGAGTTAAATAATAAATAAATATTAAAAGGTAGAGATTATTTAAAATTTTGTATACAAAAAAAAAAAAAAAAAAAAGTAGCTTATAGAAGTCATTTATTTTTTCGGATTTTCCACATCACAAATCGCTTTCAGTTGTGCGCATTTTTCTCACGTACTTTCAACATCCCAAAACACGGGTGAATCATTCCTGTACTTTGTATGTAATGAATACTTTGATTTGTACAGGACTGTCGGGGCGTCTCACTACCGTCCCCATTAATATAAATATAATTCAGCTCTGGAATTAAATACGGCCAGATCAATTCTCATTCCGTCAGCTTCCTGCGGATGGCTGCAGTCCTGTAATGAAAAGGATTGGAGTGGGGAGGGTAGGGGGGGGGGGGGGGATGACCATGCTTGGGAACGCTGCGCGGGAAATCTTCATAGGACGGGGGCGGTCAGAAAGTGGCGCAGTTATTATAATAGAATGCCAGAGCATGACTTTTTTTTTTTTTGGAAACAAGGGGAATAAGATAAATAGAAAATTAACCCCCCCCCCCACCTCACCCCCGCTTCATCTGCAGTAGCTATTCTTGGCGCAGGCGGGGAGGAAAGTCGCCCTCTTTGTGGTGATGGAGTGGATAGGTTTAGTTAGGGGCTGACAATTCATTTATCATCTCCAGCTGCCCAACCTTGCAGCAAATGAACAATAAAGCACCTCGTCCCTGCAGAATATTTTTTTTTTCTTTTTTTTTTTTATGTACAAGAGCATAAATTGTACATGTGTGTGAAGATAAACACGGCGTTCTCATCAGACCGCTGCGAGCGTATCGCGGTGCAGCCGTAGCCTCCAGCACAAAGGAGTCGCCGTATAATGTACAGTACAGGAGCCGGGTCAAAAGGACCTATTATGGGGAATTTAATAAGTGTCTTTTATACCTATTTTGTTCAGGACAAGAAAAAAAAAATACTTGAAAAAAAAAAAAAAAAAAATGTGTTAAAAAATATATTTTTTTTGTAAAAAAAAATTATATATAAATAAACATTTTTTTTTTTTTTTCAAGTATTTTGTTTCTTATAGTTACATATATATATATATATATATATATACACACATATATATACATGCATACACACAAACTATATATATATATTTATATACATATAAACTATAAGAAAAAAAATACTTGAAAAAAAAATAAAGAATGTGTGAAAAGTATATTTGAAAATGAAAAAAAAAAAAATATAATTTTTTTTTAATTTCCAAATATATTTTTTTCTCACATTTTTTTTTCAAGCATTTTTTTTTCTTATAGGTTGTGTGTGTATATATATATATATAATTTTTTTTTTCATTTTCAAATATATTTTTTCACACATTTTTATTTATTTCAAATATATTTTTTCTCATCCTGAACAAAATATGTATAAAAACACTTATTAAATTCCCCCATAATAGATCCTGTTATATATATTTTTTTACTTCTTGGCTCTCGGTGTGCTCTGTGTATTTATCCCAGATCTGGGCAGTCCTCCAGTGTGAGGCTTCCTGTAATAAAGACCGCTCACTGCTGCTCTCTCTCCTTGTGAAGGGTGATTGGTCTTGTCTCCGCCCCCTCCTGTAGTTTCCTGAAGGCAGCCTGTAATAGGTGGAACCAGCTGGCTACAGCTCTGCTCCCTAGCCTTGTGCAGGGTGACTGGTTGTGTCCCCGCCCACATGTCGGTTTATGTAAGTGGGAGGAGCCTGCTGGGCTCCTCCCACCATTTTGTTCTCTGCAAAGGCTGTGTGCAGCACAGTCATGATGTCATTGCTACTTTAACAAGTCAGTATCTGGGTTTGCTAAGGCATTTGGTGCGCACAAAGTGGATTTATATTCTTTGTGGCCATTGAGGAATATATTTACATGAACGCAACCGTGTTTATAGTACAGTTGAGTTCAGGAGTCTGAAGCCCATTTGAGGTTCTCCATATCAACTGGTCAGGAGATATTAGATTAGAAGACCTTGCTCTTTCCAGTTCTTTGCAAAAAGGTTCTCGGTAGGGTTGAGGTCAAGACTTTGAAGCCCACTCGAGTTTCTCTACATCAAAATGGTCTAACCATGTCCTGATTGAGATATTGGATGAAGAAACCTGGATCATTCAACCCAACTCAAAAGGTGTTCAGTAGGTTTGAGGTCATGGCTATGGGCAGGACACTTGAGTTCCTCCACACCAAACTGGTCAAACCACGTTTTTATGGAGATGTTGGATGAAGAGACCTGGCTCATTCTAATTCATCACAAAGGTTTTCGGTAGGGTTGAGGTCAGGACTCTGAAGCCCACTCAATTTTCTCTACATCAAAATGGTCAAACCATGTCTTCATTGGGACGCTGGATGAGGAGACCTGGCTTGTTCCAGTTCAACCCAAAGGTGTTCAGCAGGGTTGAGACGAGAGCTCTGTGCAGGACACTCAAGTTGCTCCACACCAAACTGGTCAAACCATGTTACATAGTTAGCCTGGTTGAACAAAGACACAAGTCCATCCAGTTCAAACAATAAAAGGGAACAAAAACCCAGCAAAGCATGATCCAATTTGCTCCTGCAGGGGAAGAAATTCCTTCCTGATCCCCCGTGAGGCAATCGGATATTCCCGGATCAACTTTACCTATAAATGTTATATCCAGTTATATTCTGTGTATCCAAGAAAGAATCCAGGACTTTCCAACAGCAATCCACTGAGCTGGCTACAACCAACTCTTGAGGGAGTCTATTCCA